AGCAGGCTCCTGACAGGCTGGAGCCTGTGGAGAGAAGCCAATGCAGGAGCAGGTTTTCTGGCAGGAAGTATGGTCTGTGGGGGACCCACACTGTAATAGTTTGTTCCTGAAGGACTGCACCCCGTGGAAAGGACCCATGCTGGAGCAGTTCTTGAAGAACTGCAGTCTTATGGGAAGGAGTCATGCTGGAGAAGTTCATGAAGGACTGTATGCTGTGGGAGGGACCCCACACTGGAGCAGGGGAACAATGAGGAGGAAAGAGCAGCAGAGGTGAAGTGTTAGGAACTGACCACAACCTCCCAGTCCCTATCCACCTGCGCTGCTTGGGAAAGGAGGAGATAGACGACATGAGTGAGTTAAGCCTGTGAAGAAGCAGAAGTGGAAGGAAGATAGTTTTACTTTTGTTTTTTTTCTCAATATCCTACTCTCTTATTAACTGGCAATAAATTAAATTTATTTTCCCCAAGTCCAGTTTTGCCTGTGACAGTGATTGCTGAGTGATCTCCGTGTTGTTATCCTGACCCACAAGTTTTCTCATCATATTTTCTCCCCCTGTCAAGCTGAGGAGGGTGAGTGACAGAGCAACTTCTTGGGCACCTCATGGCCAGCCAAGGTCAACCCACCACACTGACACACAGAGAAGGACTGACATCACTCTCCTTGTAATGGTGCTGTTCTGCAAGGTGACACACAGGATTATGACTTCAGAGACGCAGCAGAGGTGCGGAGGGCAAGGCTGTGAGGTCATGTTTAACCAGCCAAAGTCCAAAATCAAACCTGAGCCCACTTACACGAGACATGTGTCATCTGAAATTACATCTGCCTCTTGAAGACAAACAAATTGCTGTAGAACAGAAAGGCCATGGGTGGCTAGAGCGTGAATGGCAAGGGTATATTCTCCCTAAAACTGACAAGGTACATTGAGGTTTGAAAAGAGACCTGCCAAATGGCTGAGATTTCTCTATCCATCATTCTAGAGTGACAGAGAGATCTAGATCTACTTTGAAGAGCCCAGAGTTAAAGAGCTACACTTTGGTCAGTGTGGACACAAGACAGAAAATGCTGGGAGCAAAGAGAAGCAATGGGGTGGCCAAAGATGGCAATGCCCAGCTCTGAACAACGCCCCTCCTCTGCAAGTTGCAGGGTGCACTTTCCTTCACTGTCCATCCCCACTGGCCAGGCACGGATGTAGATATCTTCTCCATTTGGGGTCAGCAGTATCACAGGTTGCTCAAGTTTCCCCGATTTACAGAGCAGGGTGGCCTGCACTTCTGGATGAAGCTGTGAAGATGCCCCATCTCCCACTGTGTCCAGGCTGGTGCTTCAGCAAAGCCAAGAGCAGCAGAGTGCAGGTTTTCTGGGGACGGTGCCTCTCCACAGGTGCACTGGGACTGGAGCGCGCTGGAATCCTGGACTCCAGATTCAGCAGCTTCCTATCTGAGCCTGCTAGTGAGGGGCTAATTAATGCTCTCTGGGGGCACACTCCAGATGGAAGGGGAAAGTGAGAGACAGGCAGCCAGACAGGCCAACACTTCAGACATCTGAGCCAGTTGGGCTCTGCGGACAGAGCTTTCTGCCTGCTGCTTTCCCCAGTGAGTCTCGCATGCCCTGCAGCGTCATGCCAGGAGAACCTGAGACAGCAAAGCTCTGATGTCCGTGCAGTTCCCTTGTTGCGATGAATTGATTTGAGCTCTCTTAAAGAAAGTGGCCTGGATATCTGAGACACCTATTGATTGCTCCATCGGCTGTCTGCCTGCCCTGATCCTCATTCACTCAGCATTGCCTGAATAACCTGCACTTCTCTGTTAGGGGCAGTCTCCCCAGATCTTAAAGGGCTACATTCACAGCTGTTTACCTTGCTGCAGCCCATGTAGGGAGGAGAGAAGATGCCTGGTGACTCTCATATGAACTCCCCAAGGTGAAGACCTAAGTCTTTCCTGCAGTATCAAGTGAGCATTTCAAGTGTAAGGCAGAAGCTTGAAGTCATGGTTACCTGTTTTTGCCATCTTTGAATACTGATACCTTCTGCCTGAAGAACAGGCACATGTCACATGCCCAGTGGGCAGGAGGTGGTGTGTACATCGTGTATGATGACAACCAGAAAAATATTTCCTCCCTTAGTGAGAAGAAATCATGAAGCCCTTAATTATGCACTAATGGAATATCATACTCTTCTTCTTCAGAGGAAGGACAGTTTCTTTACCCAGAAATGTCCCCACTAAGTTACCAGCCCAGTGCCAAGGACATCAAGGAGAAACCTGTCAAGAGAAGAACTGGATTCTAGATCTCGCTTTTAACCACAAGACCATTTTCCCCCAGACTCCTGGTAATCAAGCAGGAGAAAGAACCTGGCTTAGCAACCTTCTGCTATGGAAGAACCTAAGGAAGAAGAGAGAGGTACACCAAGGAAAAGTATGAAAGGGAACTATGGAAGGGAAAAAAATATCGTAGCTCAAGTATCAAGACACATCTTGTCCTAATGAGTGCTTAGAGACTGCAGAATAGACTCTCTGGGGAATCCAAGACATTAGAGATTTTTTAAAACAGTTAAACTACTAGAAATATACATCTGGGAACACTCCTGCCCTGGCAGAGAAAGGGGATGGATGAGCTAATAGGATGAAACATCAGAGATGGAAAAGACCAATGAACCTTTTCTAATCCAAAATCCCTTGTCAATTCTGCATTTTTGAGCAAGTCAAACAATTATGGATTTGTTCTTTCCAGAAACTACTGTCTCTGCAGAGACCAAAGACTGTAAAACCATTTTTCTCCCTTTTTGTATTTTGCTTTTAAAGATGTGTATTGATTGAATTATGTATACTAATACTTTGTGCTTCCACCAGGCTTCACATAAAGTTAACTAACTGGTCCTCACAATCCTTTTGCAAAGCAAAGCAGTATGACCCTTATTTCTCAGCTTGGGAAACTGAGCAAAAGAAAGAAAAAAAAGATGCCTAGCCAACATCACTTGACCATTCTGTGTTAGGACACAGGAGCCCTATTTGCAGATTGCTAGCGTCTTCTCCTCTTGATATTGTCATGTTTTCTTGCATCCCATTACTATCAAGAAATCTTTATACTGTATATTCTACATGTCTAAATATTATGGGCAGGATCACAGATACACTAACATCAATAGCAAACCACCCTTCTCCAGTGGCTTTAATGGTGCTGAATCAATCCCTATATGAATAACTGTATACACTTCAGCACAAAAGCAGCCTTAGAGTCAAATTTCAGTTTGCCATGAGTAGTATCCCACGGGGTTCAGGAGTTCAGGCACAGCATGGTGTGAGTGAACCTACTTTGCTTTCCAGCCTAACTCTGGTCTGGAAGGAGCTAACTGTTTTCACACAACTTGGAGGCTAAGCTGAAAAACCCTTCACAGGACCCTGCTCTGTACTGTGTCGAACTCCCAGAACTGGAAGTGTAGGATGCCCTGGCCACACAGTCACGACGCCTGCACTGGCTCCTGTGACTCTGCTCCCTCAGCTGCCAGCTGCAAGAGGCCCAACTGCTTGGGCACAGGGCAGCAGAGACACAGGCAGCCAGCGAGACCAGACCCATGCTGCTGTTCTGCAGAGTGACTGAAGCCCCATCAGGCTTTTAAGGTTGTTTTATGGGATTCATATGGGCAGGCTAAAGCACATTACCAGTCTTCACTCCCACTAAAACCAGTGTCACTAGTGTGGACTGGCGTGTGGGTAAGGGGATATATCCACTCCCTGAACTACTGCACGCAGAGAAACAGTTTTGCAGTGGTCCCTCTCTAACTGCAAAAGTGGGTGCTTCTCTCCCAGCAGTGGATCAAGATCCTCCAAGTCTACCACCTCTACATCTACATGAAGGACAGCCAGAATACACAAGTCTGCATCTCCTCTCCTTGGTAACGGGTATGCTCTATCAGGAAGATATTTAACCGCAGAAACTGCACATCCATCAAAGAACAGAACAGGGTTTAACATATAATCTACATTCTTAACAACAGGGGCTGCCATCAACTTGCCTCTCAAGAAATGAGAGAGCCCTAGTGCAAAGCAATACACGCTCAGGTGATATTGTACAATTCATCACCAGCTGCTGTGGTGGTATGACCTGGACCCAAGCTATGTGCTGGCATCTTGGCTCCAGCATACAGGACTTGTGCAGACCACAGACAGCTGCTGTTCCTTGTGGTTAAACTGAGGGGATCATGTTCTGCCAGGTACAGCAATGCAGAGGGTTACATGCAACGTTTCTCCTTCCTTCCCCCTCCTCCTCTCCCTGCCTCTCCCAGAGGGACCCAAGGGAAACAAAGCTTTAAAGTCAATCCATAAGAATGTGTTTAATTGCCACTGAATTCCCTGTGGTTCACCTTGAATGGACAAGGATTGGGGAGGGGGCAGAGGGAGGAAAATCAGCAGAAGAGAGAAGCTGAACACTGCTTGGAGAGCACTGAACAGATCAATAGGCTGAGCACAATGCAGGTTGAGCATTCAGGGCAGGGGACCCACAGCTCCCAGACAAACCTGTGCTACCCACCATCTTCTGAAAGTCTCCTGAGTGGGAATATGGACAGACCTCCATTGCACACTGTGCCATATATCTGCATTAACTGTGTCCTTCCCTTATGAAGTCCAGCCAACCCAGTCATGATTGTATGAGACCCTCTCCTCCCCAGCACTGCAAAATGACCTGGGAACAAGAAAAGCAACACCCTCCAGCCTGGGGTTCCTTTAGGAAATGAAACAGTCTGGCACAGCCAGTTTCCACTTATTTGCCAAATTTGCAAGTGCTAGAAGTAATATCCTACTGAGAGGGTGCTGCCTAGAACCACTCTCTTCTCTGGACTGCCTACTTGGTCACTGCCCATCCTGACTCTTTTATAAGGCCTGTAAAAAGATAACTTGGGAAAGCCAGAGAGGGCAAGTGTATAGCTAGCCTAGGTGATCCTGCAAAGCCTGGAGTCCCAGATGCTGTTGGGACAGAGAACAATTCTCAGTCTGACTCTGTCTTACCTTCTTTTAGCATCCCCACTTTGAGGCATTTCATGAAGCGACAGGCCTGACAGGACTTGCGCCTCCGTTTCGTGATCTCACATTCATTGGTGGCCGGGCAGCTGTATTCAATATTCCCTGCAATCAAACACAGAGATGGTCACCCAGGAGCCACGTTCTCCCCACTGCTCCAGGGACAGGCTGGAGTGCCCAGATATTCCCACCACCATCGACCTGTATATGCTGTACATTTGCTCACTCGTTTGCACACGTGCATACTCTGAGACCACGCCCAGCTCTTAGGGAGCCCAGCACTATGTATTAGAACACATTTCAGAAAAAAGCAATACTGCTCTAAATATTGGGAGAAACCTGTCCATCCAAGGGGCTGACTGCAATGCTGGGCTTTCAAGCACAATGTGTCCTCCAGGCACGTCATCATCCCTTGTGCTGCATCTCTTATAACCTGGCCTGTTCCCTGAAGTCCAGGGCTGAGAGTGGGAGCAGTTCAGACATTAGCAGCATTGCCCTTGCTGCCAATCTTGCTCCATGTCTGTGGGATGGATGTCACCTCTCCTTACTTGGGGTACCAGGGAGCTCAGAGATGGCATTTCCTCCTTTGCTTCCTCCTGCTAGCTGTCATACTACAGGTAGCAGAGAAAAAGTAGGTCTGGATTGAGAAAGACGGATAAGATGTCCTGTAAAATGAACACAAGGCTCTCTATGCAAATCTTTCCAGTTTTACTTTATTAGTCCTTGTGCACCTGCCTCTCATCCCTCTGCACAGAGCACCAGCATTCCTCATTCCTCATTCCCTTTCATTTATGGTCACTTCACAACACTGCCTCTGACACAGAACAGGGAAAGAAGCATTCCAAATTTATTTCTGGTTGCATTTTATTTAATCATAAGCCAAGAATGTCACTGAAACATGGATATGAGGGTCTGATATAAGGATGTAAGGGGAATTATGCTGGATCACAGTGCAATGTTAACAATTATTTAGTCCTAGAAGACAACAGACAGAAACAGCTGTCTCCATCCTGCCATTCACTTTGGAGGTGATGTTTCTGAAGAGGGCTATTAAATGTTTGCTGTGGAGTAGGATTGGAAATCTAAGCTTGACAGCGATGCATTGACAATGACAATACATTTAAGGCAGTCTAGCTACTGGGTAAATCAGGCAGCTCTAAAAAAAAGTATTTCTAAGCTCTACAGTCAGTTTAGAAGAATGGAAAAGTTGGTTTGGTAGTTTAGAGCAGGAAAATAAGATTCAAGAGTTCAATCAGAGCTGTAGGGAGGAGTGTAGGTAAGAGCCAAGAGAACACACAGTATGGACTTTCTATACCATCAGATTAGAATTACAGCTTACAATTTAGTAGCACTGGGACGGGACTTGATTTTTGCTCCTACTTCTGTAATGGATTTCAATGTGCTTGTGGAAGACCCTTCCTTCCTCTAAATAAAGACCAACAATCTGATACATACCAATCTCTGGGGGTGGTGATTAGACCTTGGGGCTAACTAAGCAACTGGAAAGCTCGTTGCGAAACTAAGTGGAAAAATAGAGCACAGATTCAAAAGGAAGAAAGCACCATTTGATTTCTTTCACCATGCTTGGCCCATGCTGGGTGAAACCCCAGGAGCACTTATCACCAAAGCCCAAAGGTGATCTGCCTGCTAGTTATAAATCTTTTACCTCTTGCCTCTTGTTTTGTCACAAGACTTCCAACTTGTCCCTAATCTCCAGCTCAGCCACCACATTCCTCACCATTGCTCATCTGCCCCCACCATGCAGTTTGTCTGCAGGAGCAGAGTGTGCTGCACAAGTTGCTTCCATTCAGACTATATTCCGTCATTGTGCAGCATCTGAATTTCAATAGCCAGCAATGTATCAAAGTTCTCGGAGAACCGGTAATTGAGATTCAGGCTTGCTCGCAAGATAATAAACAAACTCCTGCTATAGACACAGAGCTCCCACACATTAGAGACCCATGAGCAAGGAGGCCCTGACCTCATGATCAGGTATTTGCTGTGCCCCACACAGGAAGGAACAGAGCAGGAACAAACCCAGGATAAAACTCAAACACGGTCTCACTTTGGAAGGTTTTGCCTTAGTTTCAATGCTTCTCAACAAAGTCAAGATCAGAGTTCTGGAGAGATTTCATGTTTTGTGGTCCCAAGGCCAAAAATTTTCCACCTAACAGAGAGACACTACTCCAAGGGCACTGAGCCCTTACAGCAGCAGGAGGCAGCGACAGGCCTCATCTGGCAGCTCAAGGTCCCTCTACGCTGTGTCAAGCAGTTCCCCCAGCTTCTCCATGCCTCCAGCCCAAGGACCCCTTGACAAGCAAAGTACTGGAAATGGTCTACAAAACCTAAATCACAACTAAATGTGATAGTATCAGAGTAGGTACTGGTTACCATATACATGCTGTATGTACAACTTGAATAAGCAGTTCTCAAAAGCACTTCTGTACTGGGATCATGACTGTTAAAGGAGCAGAGCCAGAGGAGGGAGGACAAGCTCCCCTTCCTGTACAGCAAAGCAGTGGACACCATGTAGTGCAGCAGCCATGTGGTTTGCTGATGAGTGCAGGTGAAAAAATACACCTAGCACTGGTGAGATGTCCCATGCTTATTGCCTTCACATTGAACACAGGCTCATGTGCCCTTTCCACACACTGTGCCCAGTCTAAGAGAAGGAAGCACCAGCAACGGTGCCTTACAGCCCTCTCTACAGGCACAAATGCTAGAGATGAGGTCCACTGTAGCCTCTTCACACAAGACAATACTGCCAAAGTAAATGGAGTTTTATATCAGGCCCCAAAACATGCTCTGCACTGTATGGACTAAGAGCTACAGCTGGGGGCAATACCTGCCATTATTGCAGGAAACAGGGACATCACCAGGGAAGGCACAATCAGCATTACCCAAGCAGAACTCATCCAAGAAAAACTATCGTCTCCAAAACTTCAACAAAGTTCTCTGACTTTTTTTTTTTTCTGTGTGTGTATCTCAATTTCTTTTATGGGTCCTGGGGCTGGCTGCCAGCACAGTGAGCTCCTCATAGCTCCCTGTAATTTCTGTAAGTGCCCTGTGATAAAGTGATGAGATTAACTCATCGAAATTCCAGCAGCCTCCCAGCAGCTAGCGGTCACACCACCAGCACGGCTGCTGGCGTAGGGGGTCGGAGAGAGTTTCCCTTTCACTGCAGCAGCTGGGGGTGCTGCAAGTTCCTGCAGAAGAGTGTCAGCACACAAGGGTGCACATGGACAAGTCTGTATGCAAATATAAAATTTGAGCCAAGTCTCTGTGTGTTGTGAACTGTAGATTATGTGACCCAGAAGTAAAGGGCAGAAAATGGGATAATCTAATAGACAAGGCCTTGCTTTGAATGGTTGCTTACTAGAAGAGATTTCCTTGACTTAGATAAAATTTACATTTGATATGAAGAAACTGCTAGGAACTCACCAATGCCAAAGCACAAGATTTGTCTAAAAATGTCTTCAAAAAATCAAGTGTTGGGTGACCACATCAGAGTTTGTATTTGTTCTACCCCTTCATATGTGGCCTTAGAGGGCACACGACTTCCTCTCTGTGTCCTAGTTTGCTTGTCTGCAAAATGAAATGAGCACCAAAACTACCTTCTGGGGACATCATGAGTCTTGATTCATTAAGGTCTAACTGCATTTTAAAGCCTGTGGATGAGAGATGCTGAGAAACAGCCAACTACTATTAATGTTTTTTATTCTGGAGAACTGCAAAATTACCTCATTTTCTGTAAAATTAGACCTTTGACTGTTAAGCCGTTTGAAACATAATTTCCAGTGGACATATAATAGGAGTACCTGAAAACTGCACACCAGAGCTTGATCATTCAAGAGACCACATAGTCACCATACCTGTCTGGAAAGGGAGGGACTGGGAAGGGGAGAATGCCTCCCTGAGCTTGGGGAGCACAGTAAAGTCCCATCTAGCTCCTGCTTAAATTATAGACAGGGCTCCTCAGGGGAATTGAGCTCAGAATTAGTACAGCATTGAGAGCACAAGCTGCTCCTCACTTACTGATTCTGCCTTTTTATAAAGCCTTTCTACAAGAAAACTCAGGAAAGATTAGATAGAAGTAGCCAAGAAAGTCTGCAAAGCTAAAACATTTTCAGCTTCTGTTTTCTGAAGAAAACCCCCCATCTCTCCCTCTTTTTCCTTGCTAGACTAGCAAGAGTTGAGTTTCACTGGAGATGGTTTTCTGAATCCAAGTGCTAGAGCTGTGAATAGGAAGCAGCACCCAGGCACAAGTGGCAGAGAATACTTCACTCTCCCTGGTTACGCTTCAAAAGTTTTCGGAAAGCTCAGAACATCTGTTTTTTGACTGTGAACTCCGCCCTGAGAAGCAGCAGGCATGTTTCTGAGAAGGACAGAAGGATAGACAGTTCCTGCCTGTACAGACACAAAACCTCCTTTCTGCATCTCACAGGCCCTTTGCTGATCTTGTGGATGATAATCCTCTTCTGCTTAGGAAAGTGAGCAAACTCAACTGCTCCTCCCTTCCCAGGAGCCACTCTAACCACTGTAATGACAACCAGGAAGCCCAAAAAGACTATGGATTTTGTTAAAAGCCTGTTACAAATCCCTGCAAGCCTTCTGAGCTGCTTTATCCACATTTTAAGCCCCTTATTGGTGTAAGAGCATCCCAGCACAGCAGTTGTATTGCTACACTTGCTAACTGTGAAGCTTGTAAGACTCAAGCAGGGAATCCACAGGTGCAGGCATTTTGACTGAAACGTAACCTGCCTATTCAGAAGATGATGGTTAATGTGTCTCTTCTCTCTGACTCTCCAATAACCAGTTCTTCCCAATATCACTCCTTGCAAGTCCTGTTGTATCACCTTATGGGTATGAGTTCCAAGCACACAATGAGATGATTCACAAAGATCAGAAAAGGAAATCTTAATTCAGATTTATTTTGCTGAGATTTAAGCTTTTATGTTGTATTAATTAGTCATTTTAGAAATAGCCTTAATTTTCACTATTTGAAGATGAAAAATAGATGGAAGGTAGTCACAGTCACGAATATGTTGAATAAAAGGCTCATATGGTTACACAGCACTGTTATGAGTTAATATTTAGAACAGGCAAAACTACCTACCAGTTGTAACGACTGATGAACAAAAGACAATACCAATATATTTGATTGATATATAATGCTCTATCTACTGAGCAAACTATTAAAAGAAGGAATAGAGCTAGATTAAGAATTTATATTCCACAAGAAATACAGCATTTACCTTTGTCCTAAATTTGGATGAAAGGATTAGTTAGGATTTCCAGGAAATAGAAATTTAAAAATAATTATTAATGTTTAATTAATGTATTAATGTTTTAATACAGAAGCATACAAAACACATTATCTTTCATGTAACAGACCTGTTCCTTTACACTCAACTAATAGGAAATTCTTGGTTTCAAATCTGATCTCTCTTAAGCACCAACAGCAGCACACTTTAACGTGCCCAAAACTCAGATTTTCTCCTGTCTTCACTAGATTGCACCTTCCACAATATTCACAAAATCAGGTGATGCCCATGGCACATGTGTTTATGGAGGCCACTTGCATCATTGAGATAAATGCAGACTGCCACTAGAATATAATGGCAACCCAAAGCACAGTTGCCACAAAGCAATACAATGATAGAGAAATAGGATTAAAATTTTGTCAGACAGCCTAGCTGACCGAAAATGCTTCAAGGCAGTTCAGAATTTCTTATTCTGCCTCAAAGTGTGGGAAGTCTAGCCTTGGGGTTCAAAATAGCATGTTCAGAGAGAAAGGCCTGTAGCCCAGTGGCGTGTGCTCTTATCTTGTCTTGGGTTTTTGCCTTTCCACCTCAAGCATCGCCAGTGCTGCAAAGTGGAAGTGACACACAGGTTTCCAAGCCTTGATCCTTCCCGTGAGCCATGTAACACAACATGAGAGAGGTCACAGGTGTGACCCCCCCATACACTGTGGGACAGGTTAGGATGTGTTGTGTGATCCTGTCTTAGTTCAGCAAAACCAACCACTTCAATTCAGCTTGAACTGGATCAATGGTTTGGATTTTCCTGACTACTTTTTTCCTCCTATCATAAAAATTTTCCTTGGGGAAATCTAACTTGGTAAAAAAAATCTGCTTTTCTTTGGAAAATTCCTACTGATGGAAGACCCCCACATAGCTGTAGTAGTGACTGCAGAGATAACCCGTGCTTGCTTTCAGCCTATCTTCCCCCCATCACTTGAAAAGCAACAGCCCTTGTGCTGTCCGGGGTAACCTGGCCTCACCTGGCTAAGGGGGAAAGTGAGTTGCAGAGCTGTCAGGCTCAAAGAAGGTCTGCAGCTTGGATGTCCATTCTTCCCACTGCTGTGGCAGCACCAGGGGGAGTGGAGAGAGTATTGCAAGATCCTCCTGCCTCAAGACATGCAGGTTTTACATGTGTTAATGCAGCTAAAAAAAAACAATAGTCAGACTGGGGTCATTTGTAGCCAGGGAGAGAAGTAGTTGGAGGAGGGACGTAGCATGAAGTTCTGCTTCATGATCAGGGGTATCTAGATAGGGCTGCAGGAGTCTAATAATCCAGGACAGATTTAGAGCCATTTTATAGAAGCATGCACACCTATTACTTAATAAAGTTACCAAACCCAGAGCCACAAGATTAATAGTCATTAGTTTTTCATCTTTCAATACTCAAGCAAAGAGAAGTGAAGTGGCTTGTCCAAGACCACAAAAGCCTGATTACCTACTGCATCTCCTGAGCACCTGGGAAAACCTGGAGTCCTAACTCCATCTCTGTGATCAAACTCTTGAGTCAATGCCATTCCCAGATACCAGAATCATGGCAAGTCTTTTGATACTAGGAGGGGATACAATTGTATAACATACACATCTGCATGTTTTCTTCACACCCTAGATTGATGTTGGGCAGCTTGGATTAATATTTTCCCACTTCAGTTAGATAATTAATACATCAACCGAATGTAATAGAGTTGCAGAATGAACACCTTTCAGAAATGCTTTCGCCACTCACCATCTCTTTTATGTGATCCTTAAACCCTCTTCCCTGCATACCCACGGCTGTGCTTGGATATCACATGCACTGCAGCAGAGCCCTGGGAACAGTGCCTTTTCTTTACTCAACCAAACTCCTCACCCCTATTTGCTCCTCACTCCCCTTGCCTTCAGCTCCATAGCAGAAATTGCTCACCCTTGGGCACAGCACACTTGACTCTTCCACTCTTGGGAATAAAAGCATTTTGGTACCTCAGTCACCAGCCCAAGCTGATGACAGGGTGAGAGAAATCTCCGCTTATTCCTTTTCCCCATCTGTTACACATTAACAGGCACTCAATTAGAGAACCACAGAGAGAATATGGCTGTGCTGGGGAGAGGGGGTTGGAAGGAAGCGGCCTCCCTTCTTGGGATTAAGTAAGCTCACATATCACCCAGGCTGATACAGGCTCTAGTTAATGATGCCCTGCATAATTTTATTTTGATTTTCTCTGAAAACTCTTCAGAAGTTCCTGTGTCTTTTTCTCTCTACAGGTTAGGCTTCTCTTCTGCTCTGCCAGTACTGCTCCTGTGAGGGGTTAGTTTTTCAGTCTCTTTTTATATAAGGAGCCCCTAGGGCTTTGCTTCAGAGTACCACCCTGTCTCTCCTCTAGCAGCTGAATGTGCCAAAAAGAAACACTGGGAATGGGTCCAGGTGCTGGAAGAGGGACAGAGTCAGTGCTGACAGTCAGAAGTCCAAGTAAAAGTTCACATTCAATGACAGGAGATTCAGCAATGACAAACCACAGAAACTCTGCCAGGCAACAGACCAAATGCCCTAGAGATGATAAAAGAGGAAGAGTCAGCGGGGCAATACAGAGTGATTATTTCCATGGCTGGATAGTAGTAGAGACATCTAGAATCTAAGAAATTAAGCTAGAAATAGTGAATTCTGTGGAGACCTGGGCTAAAATGCACCCTGTACTGCTCTGTCAACTCCAGAGTTGAACATCCTCAGTGATGCAGTGTAATCAGGCCCATTCAATGAGTGCTCTCCCCAAATGTACATTTCTTTCATTTCACAGGAGACAAGGAAGTGTTGGTGTGGTGGCTTGACCCCAACCAACAGCCAAGTAAGCACACAGCTGCTTGCTCACCAGACACCTGTCTCTACCATGGTTGGGCAAACTCAATACACCTTCTACTGGAAAGTGAATGATCCTGTCCTTTTTCCAGTTAGAGAGTGTAGGTCACACAGTGAGTATCTGTACACTCAGGCACATTTGCTTGTATGGGGCCTGCTTGTGTAAGTACAGCCAAGCACCCATGGATATTGGAGCTTGCCTGGATGCACTCCCACTTTTGGCTACACTGTTGTACCTGCATGTGTGCACATCTGCAGCGTTACTTTTGGCAGTCAGGACACAGCCATACACCTCATACGTGAACTGTACGTGCAGGAGCAATGCGCTGCAATTCATCTACATATACATGCACTGAGGTTTTCAAAATCACCTGAGGAATTTCTTGTCCTTAGTAAGACTGACTGGATATCTCTATCTCCTTCAGTACCTCGTTTTTTTATCTTCTAAGAACTTGCATCTTAATTAAAAGTGTTGGTGGAGCTGGAAAAGCAAGAACACAGGATTGACTTTCATCCAAGTGCCCTGGCCAGCCTTGTGGTGAGGTCTACACAGAGTCCATGGCTACAAATTAAGACTGGCAGGACAGAGTGGGAACCTCTCTACACCTGTAATGCTGGGACTTTCACCTCAATGTGCAGACATTTCTAAAGAGATGCCATCTCTAAGCAGGGGCATCCACTCTTCACATAGGCCTTAAAACCACCTTTAGAGTGCAAAGCATTTCCTTTCCAGGCGTTACTCCACTAGCAGCCACATTATCAGGGTATCAGTGCCACTAGCACAGGCAGGAAGATCCACTAGGCCAGATACCCAGATCTGGTAGCCAGCCAGGTTAGGAACTTGGCAAGTCCCTACCACAGCCACCACAATGCCTACCTTCATGTCCAGGTTGATTTGGGAGGACCAGAGCTGGGCAGGAGGAGAGAGGAGGCATGCAAAAGGATGGAGGGTTAGGTGTATTACATTCACCCTCCCTTGCCCCCTTTTATATGACATGGAAACACTGCAGTCTCAGCAATGTCTGGGGTTGGCTCCCTTTTTTGCTACGGAGTGAATGTCTCTGTTTCCCTCCCTTCCCACCATACCTTGAATAGTCCTCTTGAAGAAGGCTTTGCACGCCTCACAGGAAGCCACGCCATAGTGGTATCCAGAAGCAATGTCCCCGCACACCAGGCACAGCCGCTTGGGGATTGCATTGAGCATGTACTCGCACTTGGTGGGTGAGTCCTCCATGATGGCGCTGGCGCAGTCATCGTAACGCTTACGGCAGGACCCACCACCAATCCCTGTGCCATTGAACATGGGTGGTGAGTCTAGACCATTGGGGTGGCCACCCATGGCGATACCGTAGCCACCGCTAGCGTCAGAGGAGCCGCTCGGGCTGTGGTGGCTGATTGCGTCAATGCCAGAAGATGGGCTGGAGGGCTCGGTCTTGATGAAGGACCCACAGCTAGAGGGGAGGTGTCGCTCCTCCGTGGCCATTCTGCCGAGCAGCCTGCAGGGAAAAGAGCAAAGGCACTCAGTGGCCTCCTGGCCCAACCCAGCTCCAGGCTGGTCAAAAGAGAACCCTCCTTTTCCCACCTCAGTCCAACTCCAGTTGGCTCAGGCAGTTAAAATATGTCCGTCCATGTCCACCCCCCTTACCCCCCCGGTACTTCTCCTTCAGGAATATCAGTACAACTCCCTAAGGACGCCTGCCAACTCCCCACAAACTCACACTGAAGACAAGGCTCTTCATGTAGATCACAATTTTAGGCTGTTCACAGGGTGCAGTGCTGGAAAGGGACATCAGTGCTGATGAGGCATAATTTACCCAGAGAGCAATCTACCCGAGAGAGCAGAAATAAATGAGACTTTCTGTGGCAGGCCATGTGAAAAAGATGTTTGGTTTGTTCAGGATGCACTGCCCTGGCTCTAAGCAAAAAGTTCACTAGCAGATCCCGCAGGAAGGACCTGCTCAGATTGGACTTCCATTTGTAAGACAGAAGTCTGATTAATTTTCAGGTTGGATTCCTACACCCCCACCCCACTTCACCATCATCACTAAAAGAGGAGCTGAGAAACTCCCCCTTTAGGAAGAAAATAATCTGATCAAGTTTCCTCCAGCTTAATCTTATATCTTAGTATTTTTTTCTTTTTACTAGTATAAGGCTTTTGCATGAAGACGCTTCTCTCAAATTCTCACTTCTTAGAGAGAGGGTTATGCTCTTAAGTATATGGAAAGGACTGCATCTTTACCAAATTTGCAAGCTTTTGTTATTTATTGTAGTCACAGGTAGTCTTACCCTTATATAAATGTTCAGTCTTTTTTTAGAACACTGCAAATTTTTATGATATCTTACAGCAATGAGTTCCAGGGATTACCTGTGTGGTGTACGAACAAACAAAAAATACCACTTTTATTTGCCCATACTGTATTTGCAGCCTTTCAGGCCCCCTGAACATCTCCCGACCCTCCTTCTCAGGAAATATACTTTCGCCATGTTCTCCTCATTCAGCTCTTCATTATCTATATAATTGCTCTTCATGCAGAAGTTTTTGCAGACCTCTTATCTGTTTCATCATCCATCTCTGAACTTCCTCTAGCCTGACTATTTCTGTTCAGTCCAGAACAGAGTTCAATGAGCCAGCTCCTCAGACGCATGAAACTGGCACTGCTCCATCACTTCTCCAGCTGAAGGTCTGGACAGTAGTCAAGACAAAGGCACGCTATCAATCACCTACTGACATTACCATATTTTCAATGTTATTTTCAGCCTATCTATTATATAACTCCTTACATTGTTTGCTTTTTTCTCTTTAAATTAAAATCCAAGTTGTTACCATTTCTTCAACAGAGAATATCAGCAAGTTATTTACTGCAGTCCTTAGATCTTTTCCTGAGTTGCTACAGTTAATTTAGAATCCATTAAGATGTATGAAAAATCAAATTAATGCCTTCTGGTGTGTGATGTTTTGCAATAGTCAACAGTGTATTTCATCTACCACTGTGCTGCCCATGCACCCAGCTTTATTAGGTTCCTCTGGAATTCTTCAGTCTTCCTTGATAATTTGATGTCATCTGCAGAGTCTTATTGTTCACCCATTTCCCAGATCATTAACACATGGATCAAACACCACAACACTGATTTTTATGGGTGATTCGTGTTAACCTTTACCATGCTGAAAATTGACTTCTCTTTCTTTTCTGGGTAGGGTATGTCTACCCTTTCTTTTCTGTCTCAGACATTTTTTAATTGATAATAGTATTAACCTGACAGATTAAATTTTCCTTTCAGCAAGACAATTTGTCACAGGCTTTTAAGAAAACCTAAATACATACATTTTCCTGATGACATGTCCAAAGAATTTTGACTGACTGGGGATGCTTGACTTTTCTTCTTGGAAGCTCTACTGGTTTAAGTTACCATACCATGGTCATGTGGGCAATTTCTATTTCTATTTCAGTTTCAGTCTATTTACCTGGTATTTGTGTCAACTCCTTCTGCCAAGAGGTCAAACTCACCAGGGGACAAGACAAAACATTCTGTGATACAGCAAGGCTGGAGTGCACATGTATATACATCACAACTCTGTGTCTGTTGATATGAACGTATATTTGACATGTAGCAACTTCACAGTCCTTCATTCTTAGGATCTCGTTTGACCCAATTATCTCCTAATTTTCCCTTCTATGCTTCATCCTCAATGTTTGACCTCATCTCCTATCTCTGGGATCGATCAGCCAAGTTTATCATTTGGCAAGACTGCTGACCTTGAGAGTATGGGCAGGCATCTCACGTTCCTTGGCTGCTTTGCCTGGTGTTACTTGAGAGGAATCCAGAGTTTGGTCCCCCTCAGAAACAGCGTGATGAGTTGATAAATGCCCGTGCTTCGACCAGAGGGTCACACTGGACTAGAGGCCATGGAGCACTTAGGAACAATTGCTGCAGGTGCATTCATCTTTAAACCTACAGGGCACCTAGACAGATTGCAGATCCCCTGGTGTAATGCCAGCTGACAACGTGGAGGAAGATGAAGCTTTGCTAGCTGAGACCAGATCCTAGCATCTCACAGCAAAGCTGAAAGCTGTTGTGCTCGTCACATTCTGGAACCTTTTCCTACCTGAGAATTGTGTTTGTAGTAAAAACCTGAAGATCACTGGGCACAATAACATGAGATTAGAGTAAAAATGGAAGGCAAAACCACCATAAAACACTGTTCTGCACTGAGGAACTCTACAATGAAAGGAGTTGGACTTGTAATGTTAAGGGCAGATAGAGGACAACACTATGAAAAAGGCATGACAAGGAGGTGAGCTGTACTGTCTGATTCAGTCAGCAGAATTCAAATCCCTGGTTTTTGTCTCTTAAAAAGCCCCAAATTCACAGAGGACCTCAAGAGGACCCACTGAAAAAAAAGAAAAAAAAAAGAAAAAAAAGAAAAAATAAAAAAAAAGGAGGGGAGATCAGTTTCCGAGGACCAACTCACTTCTCATCTCACAACCTCAATTAAGGAGCCTTCCTCCCCAAGGCAGGCAAACAGTGACTGTGTGATGGCGGATTAAGGATGGCAACAAATCCCCTACATCCTTACAGCTGAGGATGCTCCTGTTCCCTTCTAGGAGACAATAATACATAGCAAGTTCTGGTTAGGTGTGAACACATGCTTTAGAGGCAAAAGTCCCTAACATCAAGACAGATCAAAGATCACAGCTAAGGTGAATCCAGCCATTCCAGAGCTTGTGGTTTTCTTTTCTGGCCTCTGAAACAACTTGCATAGTTGATTATTGCTGGGCAGCACACACTGAATTGAGTCTTATCAGCTCTGACTTTCTGCAGGTCTCATGGAGATTCCACAGTGACTTTTAAACAGACTCAGAGTGTCTCCTGGCAATGAAATACAACATCCTGAACTTCAAGAAGAATGGCTAAATGTTTTTTGCAAAGAGTTCAAAGTGATGAACAACCACTTCACTCAGCTTTAGTTACCTTAATAGGAATGTAAAAGGAGAGAGACTTGATCCAACTCTCCTCGGTGCTGGCACAGGAAACTCCGTTACTATTTCTGTGCCCCTGTAACAGGCTTAGAGGTTCTCAACATTTCGTTCTTTTCACCTTTCCTCATCATAGGTCATTCCCTCTAATCCCTTTAGCATCTTTGTGGCCCTTCTCTGGATTTGTTCCAAACTTGCTTGGGTCTCTCTTGCACCAAGGTGTCCCAAATCTCACAGCATAATGCCACAGCACTACAGGGGAGAGCCACTCTGGAAAGCACGCAGACATATGGACCAACTGAGCAGTAGCTTTGCTCACATCATTTGATAGCTACTGTCTCACTGGGACCTCTCTGAACGTAAGCTGCTTTTGCCACCATGCTCTGCACAACATGAAATTTGCAGATTCTCCTTTTTCCAAAGTAGATCCAGTACCATCTTTTAAACACACAGTGCAAATTGCCACTTGTTTTACCAAAAACCTGTTATTAATGCCCATTTTTTTTCAGCCCACTCTAATTTTTTTCCTAGTACCTTTCAGTTGTGTCAACTGTAAATTTGAGAACTATTCCTTTTTCCTCTAGGTCACTAACGAATATTTAAAACCAAAACACTGCCCTTTCGGACACCACCTTTGCAGAAGGATAAAGAATGTCTCTAACCCTTCTGTTTACACTCTGTCAGCTAATCCATGGTTCATTTCACAGGATTTGTATCAAAACCAATTTGATTTAATTTCCCTAATAAGATCTTGCACAGCTTTGTGTCAAAAACCCATGTGTGTTCCAGAGACAGTCTATCCACTGCATTCCTTTTGCCCACTAATTATCTAATTGTATCCTGTTTCATAAACCCACTGCTGTTTATCACTAACAGTGTTGCTAGCCTTTATATGCCCATAACTGCCCTCAGACAAGCATGCTCCGATCTCAGTGATTCGGGATGTAAATACATAGGTTTAGACCAAGTCAAGATTGTGCTTCAGGTTTTTATCCATTAGCGTTATCTCCCTTGGGCAGTGATGTCGGGTTGATGTTACAAGTTTCTCCAATTCTTCTCTAGCCTTTCATCTTTTGCTGTTTCTCTGCAATGGCTGGACTGCCTATAAGTTTAATGCTCTCTTGAGAACAACAGCAATAATAAGAGAGGGAAAGGCTGCTAGATGGACAGGACCAGAAAGGGACAAAAGATTAGTGTTATAAAATCAAGGCAGTTAATATTGTCGCCATTTTTTCTTTCTTTTAAACTTCAAGGATCACAAGTTTGTGATCCATGCAGATCAGACTATTTTATTGCACATCCTTTAAGGCTATTTTTGTCAGAAGTAGCTATGTTCTCCTCTGCCCCACTTCTGGATATGAAAACTACAGGAATTCAGTACTCTTTATCTACAAGCCTTCACCTGGCTCAAGAGAAAACAAGGCCCACCACTCACATCTGCTTAGCAAGACAGCCAGAACAATATCTGACTTTGTAACAGAAGGTAACTTTTCCCCAACAGAAGAATTCTCTGTCA